AGAAAAATTGCATTTTATAACCCTAAAGACTGCATTTTATAGCGAAATGACGATTATTAAAAAGATATGGAAATTATTTAAAAATGGAAGAAGAATGGAACGGGGTTACCTTTGCAGTAGAAGAAAAGATGAGTATTTGATGTTGATTTTTAAAATGACGTTCCTCGGAAGTTAGAAATTTTATATACAAATGTAGAAAAGATTTTCGTTGTTAAGTCTTTGTTTCCTTTTTTGAACAAATTCTTTTTAGTTAGACCGATATCACACGGCAAGGCAATGCAATAATACATTTTCAAAATAACTAAGAACACTTCATTGTAGTGTAAAGTTAAGATTAAAAAGACTATCATCTCAAAACCCACACACGAAGAAAATGCATGTTTCGTTGACTCCTCATGAAATGTTCATCTTTCATATATTCTGTATCATCTTTCAAGACTGCTAAGAAGATTTATGAACTTTAGCAAATATTACGTGACATCGAGATTTATTTCAAGAGATATAGACAAGAGTTTTCAATTTTCAGTTATTGTGTTTGAAGTGGGTAAATAGAGTCTCTGCTATGAAAGTTACTACATATAAGATTTTTCTCTATACATTATAAGAATCTACACAAAAATCAAATTCCACTTCTTAAATATAATGCGATTCGTACAAATGTATATTTATTACTTATCTTATCTCATTATCTTTTGTCCGATCAACATCGAAATAAGCAAGAAGTCAAAGAAGATTGGGTTATTTGAGGCTGACAAGTGGAAATCTTTGTCCCAAGAACCATGGTTAATAAACGAATGCTGTTTAAACTGAAACATTTGTTAATAATTAATGTCGAGTCTCGTGAATGAAAATTAAGAAGATACTTGCATATCATTAACTACTATGCGAAATTCCGCTGCATTTGACAATGGAGTATAGTTTAACCATGAGATATACTATCCATCAATGCTTTAGATTTAGCAAAAAAGAGATGAAAATCCCATAATTATGTTTGCGACAATCAATCGTGTGATGTGACGAAGAATCAGCTTAAAAATTTGCAAGTTTTTTGGAAGAGAAAACTACAAATTTATTGACAACTATAAAACTTAGTTATACTAGACTGATTAATTAAAATAAAACAATGTGTATTTTGAGCTATTTGATGAACTTTAAAAATGCTCACTCTATGATACTTTTGATGACCTAACCAACACAAACAAACACAACAACTAAAATTCACTCTTTTTTCTTTTC